ACATTTAGGACTGGAATGTAGTCACAGTAGAAATACATGAAAGTGAATTAATATAGTGCCACTTGGTTTGGTCAGGACTGTGGGTGTTATGTAATCATGGGTATCACAAATACTGCTTTGCTGACGGACTGAAAGCTAGCTGTCTCAACAAGGATGCATCCCAGCATGATCTTGAGTCAGGTCCTTGTGATGTATTCTAGCAACAGATAATGTATGGTTCATTGACAGACACAGCTCCATGTGCGGATTCATAAACTGTGTCAGTGTTCACACAGTCTTGAAAAGGCCTTAAATTTGGCAATCTGATTGAACATCAAATGAACATTTGAATCTGAATTTAAGAGGCCTATGAAAGGCATTGAGTTGAAATCCTTGAAAATGCCTTGAACTTGGCAGACATGATTAACTCTTAAGTTGACAAATGGCAAATATTGTTTTCTCTCTAATGAGTGATGACATCATGTACAGTAGCAAAAGATGAGACCATAATCTGATTGATAATAAATTATATTGAAAAATTGACTTTAATATTATAATAGTGTAAAGTGCATGTACAGTTTGAGCCATTCTGACAAAATGTTATTTGATTAATTGGCTTCAAAGCATTTATGTACTATATAGTCATCATCTTTAAAAGGTCCTAAATTTTGTTCAAATCTAGTTTTGCACAGCAAATTATATGGTGATCATTACTTTATTGTGTTTTCTGGAGTGGGTATTTGTGGGAGATTGTCTAAACATTGGAGTAAACATGGTGATCTGAGAACTGAGTTATTTGTTCTAGATAGAAATACAGGGACCTCATATACCATGTATCTCAAGACAAATTCAAATGTTCATTTGTCAGCACTTTATCACAACTGTCAGTGGCTGTGCAGACCATTAGGTAGCACGGTGGTTTGCATGTTGGCTTGTCATTCAGAGGGGTGGTACCAAACTTGGACGCCCATTCTTGATGACCTCCACTTCAATATGGCTGCAAACTGTTATAAAAGCTGTGTTAGTCTTAATATGTAGAGCTGTAGACAAGATGACTCAAAGTCAAAACAAATGTTATATGAAAAATGTTTTTGTTATATTCAGTATTTCATTTAATGTAATATTTTGTAGGTACATGTGTGGTACTGAGGAAGGTCTGACTATCCTGACATGTTCATTACAAATTACACCAAATCAGTCAAATGTCCAGATCTCCAGATAAGCTTTTGGTGCTGTGGGTATTTTACCCATGCATTTTAAAATCATTGGGTATCAGTAATTCTATCTGGGTATTCAAATTTCTGTTACCCACTAGTTTTTACACATGTGGGTATTTAGTTAAATATTTAAAAACACTATTCATCTAGTCCCTGCAAACTGGTGTCGTGTGGGTTCGAGAGCTTTATAGGACTCAAAAATACCACGATACTTCCACAAGAAAGTGTGATGGCAAATGATCATGATGTAACTGTCATCGTGGAGTTTGGCAAGGTTGACGAAATGCCCGTTTATAATTTCACAATAAGTTGCTGATTTTCTAATCGAATACGCAGGGTTACTTCACAATATTTTGATGATAAACACAAGTTTAACTTTCGTAGCGTATCTGTAATGTTCATTGCGTATTTGATACGCTTGGATTTTATTTTACTGCATATTTCTGCATTTCTGATACGTATTTTACGCAGATACGCAGCTTATCTGGAGCTCTGAATGTCAGATGTTTTTCTGTTGTGACGACGTTTGTGAACCAAATCCATGTGGGCGCTATTATAATTTTTAGATGATGAGGGATCAAGATGCTGTGAAAGTTTCATCCTCATGGTCCTTTGATCCCCAAACTCTGTAACATGTTGCAGCAAATGAGTGAAATGTCCACAGACATCTACTACACCCACAAAAACAGAAAACAGGCTTGCTGTAGATACTCTGGACACACAATTTACTCTCTCTATCATTATGAAACCATCTGTATTCAGAAATACAGTATTCCGACTCTTAAATTAGACTTGTTTATTGACACTGTCTGGAGGTTGCCCATATACCCAGCAACAGGTTCAACAGCTGTAGTCAGGGCAGTGTAGTCTTTCCATTTGGTGCAGACTACAAAGTCCTAGGTAACAATAAGATACATGGCCTCTTGATTCTTCTCTGTATCAGAGGTGTCTTATCCCACACACTGTGCACATTGTGGAGAAGGTGTTACAAGTTTGATGCAAGGCAATTGGTAACGTGGTCAATGTGCATAACCTAAATATACCTAGTCTCACAATGAGCAAGACAGGCCATCTCTGTTTTAACGCACATGTAAACTATGTGTGGAGCCATGTACATATAACGCTGATTTTCACTGCTTTCCGTTCAGAAATGTTAATTATTTTGATCATTTTATAATATTTTCAAAATAATTGTAAGTATTTTATGTTCATAATGCAATAAATTGCAAGTGATTCCATGGTATTTGATTGACTTACCAAGCAATTATTTTTTCCATTTATTTTTCCATAAACCTAAACATATTTTAGCCATTCTCTCTAACAGATTACTGTTTCTTGATTGGCTGATTACAGATTGGGTTGTGTTTCATTATTGTGAAGATCAATGTCACTGATTTTGTATCATCTAGATTATTTGTAATTGTTTGTGATTAAATAAGCAGTCTATGAAGTTGTAATTGTTGACATATTTATGTGTAAGCATTGACTTCAGTAGAGGTTTAAGGCAATGTGCATACGTGTATGTAGCTCCATAAATGATAAAAATATTAATATCAACTCTGAAACAAAATGTATGGCATTTACATCAATTCAGTTTTTTTGGTTTTTTTCCCCATATGATAAATTTGTATGCTAGGTTAGTACTGTGCTTGAGTACCAACTGTGAGTGGTGAGTCCAGGTGACACAAACATCTGGTGATGAACGGCTGTCCTGCTACAGCATCTGGCACAACCTTCATTGATCAAACCAACACAAGTGGATGTCTTGCTGAAACCATATCACAGTGGCTTCCTGCAGCTTAGTATAAGATCTTATAACATAACCCAATTTATGTAACACTACAAAAGGCAACAAAAACTGTTGGTTTTTTAGACATTCATTAATAAAATGCAATGTATCATCTCTGACTAGCGCATATGTCAAATATAGACCAGTTCTTCTCTACTAGAAGTGAATTTATTACTTATAAGAAATATAGTAAATATCCTACATTAATAATTCATTCTCTTTTTTGCATCAGGATGCTTGCCCATTGGTCCCAAGTAATATGTGCTGGTTGTTCAAGGCTTTTTAGCTCAGTGTCTTGATTGTTGATAGCATGTCTTCCTCAGCCGTATGGATTGTAACTCAATATCAAGCAATAGTTTGTCTGTTCCAGGCTGAATGATGTACAGGTCACCCGATGATGATAAGCTGAGATAGTGCTGACTGTGGCATCAAACAACATTCATTCTCTTCCTTATATTTTTGCCAGCTTAATCTAGTCAGATGGAATAAAAATTGATTCAGTTACTCAAAATGTTCAGATATACTTATGTGACCTACCAAAGATTATTTGAAAACAACCCATAAATGATATTTGTGAAACGTGTGAAGTCTTGTTGGTCCTGTTCTGCTACATGTGTGTCAGCAGTGAGCAAGCTGGCCCCTGTGATGAAGTCAGGCCAGGGTTGTTCAGTACATGGCAACTCTCTTGTCCTGATGGACATCAACTGAAGCATGAAACCTGAGACCCTATTTACAAAACAATTTTAGCACTACAACTGGCTTAACTCCCATACATTCACACAAACTTACAGAAGTTGTAGCCTCGCTATTCTTGAGCGATTGTAGCACTACAAGTGATCTGCGCTAAACTGTGTGAGTTGCCCCTATTGAAGCAATAAGATTGCTTGGTGAATTGAGAGTAAGTTCTTTATTCTTACTTTTCTCATATTAGGGGCTGGGAATCATATTCACAAAACCATTTTAGTGCTATGACTGGCATATCTCGTAGGTTTAACAAGGAATTACAACAGTCCTAGCACTGCCTTTTCTTTGTGAATATGACGAAGATCAGATGAATAAAATTGCTTGGCACATAGTATGTGATAATGGTGTGATCCATTGCTGCACTTGCCTGACCCTTCTATCAGTGGCTATCTTTTCGACATATTATTTCTAGGAAGAACAATGGAGACACTGAATAATATCAATGTGTTGAATGCCTTTAGAAATTGGTATGTATTCAGAATTTAGGCTCTGTATTAATGTTCAGAGTAGTCTCCCTTGGGTATTTGTTTATCATCTCAAGCAGGATAGTTTGGCAATTCTAATTATTTTGCATGGCTTCTATCATTATTCTTATGCAGTATGAATCTGTAAACATTGTAGATAAATGAATAAAATTGTCGTAAAGTTGGCATGAACCTCTGAGTCAATAAATTTCCATGATAAGTGTATTTAGAGTTACATGCTCGTGCTGTTTAAATCCACTAAAAGACCAAGCTAGAAACTGGGGGCTGAATATCATGCCCATATTGATTGGATTGATCATGTAACAGCCACTGGTTTTACTGCTCCAAACTGGTCTATTTCCCCAGACTGCTGAAATAATGATGACATACAACTGGCCGTGACTTGCACAGCCATACATTGACTTCTCTGACACTATCTAGTAACAATACTACTGTGTACACATACGCTGATGGATCCACAGGAGAGGTGTTGGCGGAGTGCACAACCCTTTTCCGTTCACCTTAAGTGTCAACGACATGTGGCGCTTCCTCTGTCATGTGTTTTTGTTTATTAGGTAGTTTGCACTCTTTGTCCAACTCCTGGATCCACACCTCCGTCTATAATCATTACATAGCGGAGTTACTTATGTTTTACTTTAGTTGTAATCCTCAAATAATGATACATTATTTATGTTCACTGTATTTTTTTATCTCCCACATTGCTGTCTGTCAGTCATACAGTATTGTTCTTTCAGTTTACCAGGGCTATATGTAATATGAATTCATTCGAGGTCTTTCTTTTTTCAGATTGAAGTGTTGGATCAACTAGTTACTGTGGCCCGAGAAGCTGACATGATTACAAACGTTGGGCCCACACGTTATGGACATATTAGCTGCTGAACATCAGTATTTGTGTTGGTGAGTAAATCAATGGACAGGCTTATCTTCATCAGCGTTTGTGTATTGTATCAGATCATCAATATTTCCCTCTGCTGGCTGCAGGTGTGTTGGGGAAGCTTAGTGTGGTCACTTGTCCAACAGAGTTGTTCCAGTTTTGAATCGACAAGTGTAAATTAAAACGTTTATCGCTCCTTCACTCTGTTGACTCTGGTAGATTAAATCCTAGTTAACTCAGTCCTAGATACTAGCAAAACAACTTCCTTGTCATGAGTGAAAAATGGAGTTGCACTGTTTTGTTGCTATTTTGCTGAGTACTTCTGACACTGTGCACTTCACACTCACTCTAGCTATGGCCTGGCTGCACTTATGTCACATTTTACCAATGGTGATTGGTTAGATTGCTTCAGATGCCAAGTGCGCAGCTATCCATGTTTGATTGATCAGGATTTCTTAAGGTTGATCTTGTTTTGACTATGAAAGTAATATGAGAAGTTTTTTTATGTTGTTACAGATCATAATATACCATAACATAACATATACATATCATAACATAAGATTAAGAGAGAGTAAGTTGTATTTGCACATCAGATTAATGTGAAAGGAAAGCCTGTAAGGATGCAGGCTTTTTACCAGTTTGGTGATTCCCACATGCAAGGGTATGGTGCCGACAAAGCAGTGATCAGAATCGGGGCAAATCAAACCCATTAACATAGGATCATGGCATGCGTAAGGGACGCAACTCTGAACACATATTTGAAGCACTGTAGAAGACTGGGCCACCCAAATTCCTGGAAATTGATGCATCATTAGTTAATTGTCTTTTCATTCAGTCATTATCTCACAAGATATTTTATGTGATCATGTTGCTCCTTGCTGCGAACACCTTTGTTAAAATCCAGGTGGACTCTTTGATCCCCATTTGCCATAATGTTTTTGTTGTGAGTGTATTTTAGTTTTGGTTGTATTGGCTCATGTCCCGAAGGAGAAACAGTACACTTGGCTAACAAGCAGCTCTCCGAGCCACTGTGGACAGTCCACAATATGGACAAGAGTGTAGAAATCAGTCAAGCCCAACATGCTAGTGTATGTACATTGTAAACCAGAACTGCCACGAGGCTCTCTGTATCAAGTTGCAGAAAATTGGCGGATTTTATTTCACATGCTGGCCTTCATATTGTCCAGTAGGTACAAAGTTGGCTCAGAATAAACAATCAGGCTGGACATGTGGTGTAGTTTGCTGACATCTTGCTACATGATATATGGAAGGAAGAATAAAAGAGGATAGAGACAGATTTAGAGTGGGGAGAGGTTTATGAGATTTTGATGCATACTCCGGCATTTTGGAGGATATATAAACTGGAGACAGGCTGGTCAATGATAAGTGACCATCACCCACCTACACCAAAGCCAGACTGACCCACTTTTTATTATTGCTCAGTGTTTTGATTAATTTTGGATAAGAACCAAAGTGGCCCTTGTAACCCTAAAGTTGAAAAATATAGATTTAGTGTTGTTTTTTTAATAAATACTGCTGCAAAATGCCTCAGGGAATTCATAACCCAAGACCTGTCAATTTTACAAAATATCTGTCAACGCCCAGTTGAAGGTACGGTACACATGCTTTGCAAATCCAGCAGTTGACTGAAATCTCTATGTGTTTACGAACCGCATGACCTTTTCATTACCCAATTTTGATTGGATTATGCTTAGTTAGTCCAACCAAAATGTAACTCTGGAATTCCAGCCTAGTTCATCAAGGGTAGGAACTGGGCTTTTATAGTCAGTTAACTCCCCTGCCTCAGGAAGATGATAATATATAGTCTTGAGGTTTGTTTGTTTGTTTGTTGTTTAACGCTGAACTCAGGAATATTCCAGCTGTATGACGGCAGTCTATAAATAATCGAGTCTGGACCAGACAATCCAGTGAGTGTCTTACATGAGCTTCGATCACTGCGTTCGGGAGATGATGACACTACCTTATCCTGTTTGTCGTCTCTTCTGACAAGCATGGTTTTCCGAAGACCTGGATCTTCCCGGATAGGCTTGAGGCAGCTGGAATACATATTGTTGACTTCTGCGGAAAAAAAAGACTATCGCACTTGATGATGATGTGCCAAGCCACTGTGACATGCCTGTGGTATACTGACTATCTAGTACCCCATTTACTTACTTGACAACAGATTTGTTTTTGGATAACTGTTTGAGTGCCTTTATGAGCCATATTAAGTTGCCTGGTTCACAGGGACAAGTTATCCACTAGGAGGACACAATATTGATTATTTATGAAATCATGTGACAGTGTTGAATTTACAGCTTGTGCCAAGGTAAACAAATGTCCATCTGTGTAAACGAGTCCGAAGTGGTAATTAATGTCTAACAGGAAGAATCCACCTACCCTGCAGGCCAGCTGTTGACAAGGGCGGACATCACCTGTGCACGCTCTTCCCTCATCAGTGTGCCAAATAGCTGCGTGTCTGTTATCTCAAGGCTGATTACTAGCAATCATTCAAGTCTCCTATGTCCTCGCGTGTAATATATTTCTATAATATCACCCAAAAGATAGACAGATTGCGTGTAATAATTTCCCCATAGTTGCCTTGTAGTGTCATCATTCTCAAGGCTGATTGGTCAGTTGAAACGTTATGACATACGACATAAAAGAGCATTACGATATGAAGTCATCCATGGTTCTCGTCACACATTGATAACATTGTGTTGTCTGACCACCAGGCTGACCACCAGGCTAACTTCAGTGATGTTTGTCTGCAGGGTTGGCAGTTCATGTTTTTCTTCAGTAATTTTTTTGGAATGACAATGAATGGCCAACTTGAAACGTATAGATTATCTGTTGCTCATGAATACATGATGTAAGACCCTCGCCAAGCTCTTGGGTTAGATCACTGGCTATTCTTGAAACATTTGACATCACTTGTGAGGTAGTAAAGTTTTCTGAATAAAATGTACAGTTGCAAGTTAGTTGTGATGTCTAAAGCAACCAATCAACAAATGATCAGTTCAGTTTACGTTATTGTTTTTCGCTATTGCCAGCTATTCTAGCCTGATATACCTTCATTAATCCTTCCAGTTTTCCATAACAATTCGTACAAGCAATTCTCCAGGGGGATTCTGAGTCAGAAGAGGTTCCCCAGCAATCCATGCTTGTCTTGGCTAATTATGATTATGGTTGTTACAGTGTGTGATCTGGCTGATTGTGTGTCATTGTGCCATGTCAGCACTCATGCAGTCAACCACTGGTTTGTCTGGTCCACACCCTTATGTCCAGGCTGTCATGATATAACTGAATATTGTTGACTATGGCAACTTCCGCTATTCACAGGAGTGAATGAATGAGTTTAGCAATTTTCCAGCAGTATCATGGTGGGTGACACCAGAAATGGGATCCACTAACTGTGTCAATGTTTGGAATGAAACCTGGGCCTCTGTTTGATGAGCGAATGTTTTTATCACTAGACTACCCCATGTAATCATCCCCTTTCTCTGGTAAGTGATGGTAACCTCAACATCACTTTCAGTTAATGAAGTGATGTCATCATACAATGGCATGAAAGATTGTTGGAGGAGTTTGGAGTAATCTCAGTTGTTCATTCAGATACTAATGGAAAGTATTATATATGAACAAATGAGAGAATATGTTCAATCCGTCATACTGTTTTCATTCAGTAAACGATGAGCTTGCTATGTGGTCTGACAGTGTGAAAGAATGTGCAATATGAACAACAGATGCACTTTACGTAACTCACATTTGTTACAGCATAAAAGTTGAATAGATTCAAGCACAGCGATTATTGAAACCAAATTGTATCCATCCCAATTTAAAAAAAGGTTAAAAAACACAGTATAGGGTAATTGATTAACAGTTTATGACAAAAATCTTATTGTCATGTCAAGATTGCAGCTGTGTGAGATATGAAAAATGGATATTGTTTTAAAGCTAAAAGTATATACGACATGTTGACAGAAGCTTGTTAGTGATCATGGATCCACAGCTGCATGGTCAGCTGGTGAAATCAGCAAGCTCCAGATGTCAATTAATGTGGGCTCAATGTTGTTGTTTGTTGTTTAAAGCTGCACTCAGCAATATTCCCGCTACATGACCATAGAGACACACAGTAGATTGTGAAAACATCACAGCCAGGAAGGACATCCTGTGCCATATGTAGTCAATAGGTGGGTATACAGTGCCTAAAACAATTATGTTTCTCAGATTTCATCAATTCAAAACATTGGGTCAGTTGATTTCGAATTATTTGAAAATGAAATGAGAATGATTTGGGAAATCAAAACATTAAAATGGTCTTGTATTTGGTTTATTCATTAAATTTGTTTTGAAAAAAATAAGCTTGAATCAACAATTTTGAAAACTGCAGGCCTGGATTTAAAGGTTTGAATGTTCAAATGTTTAGTTTACAGGTAGTGTTTGTTTATTGTGGTAATCATTTTTTAAATTACCCTTACCCTCGAACAAAAATTTGTCACAAGATCTGCCCTTTCAAATGATTTTGATACATTACTATTTTATGGAAGGAAACTGAACACTAAAGCAACAATCATTTTAGCATTGTGTTTCATGTTAACTCTGTCAGCCTATTGCAAACAAATGTGTCTAGCAATTTGGACTTCCTCCGATCAATAGAAACATGCCCTGTAATTATCATGTAAAGGGAAAAGCAGATCCAAGATTTGAGGACAGACCATTACAAAACTAGATCCCACTGCTGACAGTAAAAATACCCCCTGCTTTTCATGGCAGGATAGGAAATATTCAGTTACAAGCTCTGGTCATTTCAGCTTGACATGACCTACTTCTAGGGTCAATGAGGCAGAAAGGTTACATTGACCTTTATGATCCCAGGTTGTGCTCAAAGGGAGACAATTCAAGCCTCCACTGAGTACCAAGATGGTCGTCCTAAATATTGCTATCACTGTGGACATCACCCAGTATTTGACTTTGTGGTTGAATGTACGCTTTGGATGTGTCTGATGATGATTTCAAAATCTCAGTAAGATGCTGTTTCTTTGAGCTTGTATAGCATTAATTTTTATTTTTATTATTTTGATAAAATATTGAATTTGCATTTAAAAAAAAGTTGGCATGAATTTGATGTAAATGTGATCTATGTTAAAATGAAATTGAATCAACAAGCAGAATCATTTGAGAATATTTAACTAGAATGTAGTAAGTACTATTAGAATAGAACTATCAGAAGTCACATTTCCTGACATTGAACACAGAGAATTATGTGGGACAGTGTTCGTTTGTGATATCCATTTTACTGAAATTAATCTTTATTTGGAAATCTTAATATGTGCATATTGAGTAATTAAAATTACTAACTGTGACCAATTAAGACTTGTTCACTTTACTAAGGAAAACAAACTTAAATATCTTTCTTCAGAACACACCTTTAAGTCCCACAAGAAGGATTAGTCACTCTTTGATCTTGTACAGGGAAGAGATATTAATTGTTCCATAGTTTATCATATTTCAGTCAACTGATAAAGTGGCATCAAGTGTTGAAATATTTGTGTAATTTGCCTTTATGGCATCATTTTAATGATTTTCTTTAACACAGCTATTAAGATAATAGTATATCAGTCTTTGCCAAAGCAATTTGAGACTTCTAGTCAGAACCAGGCTCTTTGCATTAGTTTCAGTAGAATTTAGTGTTGTTATGTGGAGTATTATTAGCTGAGCCTAATTGACCGAGCAGAATGTTACTGTGGCTTTGGACTTGTGGCTTGGAATAGTGTTTTACATGTTAACAGTTGACAAATACCTGGGTTCCCTTGGGTCCTCTGTAGTACTAGAGTATAGAACACCCTCATCTGCAACTTTTACCATTAGGGTCATGACAAGGATATATCCTGCTTGATTACATATTCTGTTAAAGAGAGTGAGTGAGTGAGTGAGTTTGGTTTTACGCCGCATTTAGCAATATTCCAGCAATATCACGGCGGGGGACACCAGAAATTGGCTTCACAATTGTACCCATGTCAGGACATGAACGCGGGTCTTCGGCGTGACGAGCGAACGCTTTAACCACTACGCTCCCCGACCGCCCCTTCTGTTTAAGATCATTGCCTCATGATCTTGGCAGAGGTAATGCTATTCATGTCCAAACAAAGACCTCTGCTTGTGTCACACTATGATTTTGCTTTCTATATATCAGGGCTTCTTTTTTTCCAGGTAAGCCATTTCTTATCATAAGCATCCTACATTTATGTAACCACATTGTTTATGTATTATGTATTATATTTCAATTCTATTCTTTTCAGGTTCAGAAGATTCAAGAAACAATGAAATCATCTGAATGGTGAGAATACAAAGTCTATATTTTTTCTTTCTCAGTTAGGAAACAAGTTATCACTACAGTATAATGCCATCACACTACAGTGGTGCAAGAATGGCAGATTGGTGACAAATTCATATTATGTTCCTGTGTTTTGTCCATAAAACCCTGTAGCTCATGCTATGTGATTGAAGTGTAGTATAAATAATTCCAATGCTCTTTCATGTTCCAATATTGATATTACATAACATGTTCAGAAATAGGCATGAAATATTTTGAATAAAACAACTTAATGCAGTGAAAGACCAAACAATAGCTAAGTGTACTACAGAGATGTGACCAAACAATAGCTATATGTACTGTAGTGACAGACCAAACAATAGCTACACATACCACAGTATTGTTTTGTTTGTTGTTTAACGCCGGACTCAGCAATATTACAGCTATATGACGGCCGTCTGTAAATGATTAAATCTGGACCAGACAATCCAGTGATTGACATCATGATCATTGATCCAAGCAATTAGGATATGATGACATGCATCAACCAAGTCAGCAAGCCTGACCACCCAATCCTGTTAGTCATCTCTTACCACAAGCATAGTTGCTTTTTACAGCAAGCATGGGTTGCTGACGACCTATTCTACCCTGGATCTTCACGGGTTACTTAATGACAAACCAAACAATAGCTACACATAATACAGTGACAGACCAAACAATAGCTACACATACTACAGTGACAGACCAAACAATAGCTGAACATACTACAGTGACACCAAACAACAGCTACACATACTACAGTGAGAGACCAAACAACAGCTAAACATACTACAGTGACAGACCAAACAATAGCTACACATACTACAGTGACAGACCAAACAATAGCTACACATACTACAGTGACAGACCAAACAATAGCTACACATACTACAGTAAGATACCAAACAATAGCTTTTGGAAGCTTAATCATAATTAATAATGTTAATGATGAATGAACCTGATGAATGTTTTTACTGTTACCTTACTGATATTGTTTTATTATTTAATACCAATGCAAAATAAACCTCTTGGTCAGTGCAAAGAGAAGTAACAATGCCCATGTTACAGCTACCATCTAAATACAGTCAAACTTGCTAAAACATTATTTCTTCTATGTCATCATCATTCAATTGCCATATTTAAAACAAAGAAAGATGAAGAACCTAAATAAATCCATCCTATTTAATATAAAGAGGATCTGTTAATTGTTTTGTTTTGATAACCAAGATGGATGTCATGCCTTGATCGTGTCAGTATGTATTTTATAATGTATACCTTACTGATATTGTTTTATTATTTAATACCAATGCAAAATAAACCTCTTGGTCAGTGCAAAGAGAAGTAACAATGCCCATGTTACAGCTACCATCTAAATACAGTCAAACTTGCTAAAACATTATTTCTTCTATGTCATCATCATTCAATTGCCATATTTAAAACAAAGAAAGATGAAGAACCTAAATAAATCCATCCTATTTAATATAAAGAGGATCTGTTAATTGTTTTGTTTTGATAACCAAGATGGATGTCATGCCTTGATCGTGTCAGTATGTATCTTATAATGTATTTTTGCAGGCACGGTCTGTTGTAGACCGTCTTCAATGTGAAGGAAAGAACCATGAACCATAACATGGGGACCCACCCAATCGTCAGTGATACATCGCAGGGGTCCTCAAACCATGCTATACAGTCCACAGGTATACATCCCAGGGATCTGAGAATGCAATTTGAATGCACACTATTGTGATTTGGAAACAATTGTCTTGTGCCATTAGCATGCTTAGAGCATGGATATGGTACAATAATGAACATGCATTCTTCTTTTCATTCTTTTGTTCTGTATTTCCTTCTTTCCTTCTTGAAGTGGAACTGAGGTTGAGGAGTCCTGTACTTTGATAACCTCTCGCATGTATTCAGATCTATTGGGACATTTTAAACAGAATATTTGGGCATTTAAGCTTGAAAGTTGATTATCTTTGGTTTCAATATTGGGTCATATTCTGTTTGGTTACATTTAGTTGAAACCAGTTTTGGGTTACTTTTGTGTCAGTGTCCTTTTGGGCTGGGTCAGAGGTTCCTGAAACATCTCTGACATTTATTGAGTACTTGTCCTGACAGATTTTCAATTAGGGTTTTGGGCTTTTGTGATAGTTCATTATTTCACCATTTTTGTGAACCAGTCGCAATTATATTGTAATCAACAGTACCCATGAAACTGACCGGGTTATGGCCCCACACCCTATGCATGTTGCAAGAGCTAACTGAAATTGGGATCAGATGTGCAGACTCGGTGACTCATTTCCTGGGATGGTTGTTGTTCATGCTCTCAGTTACTGGATTGTCTGGGCTGTTGAAACGTCCCTTCCACCCTCTCTCATCCCTCCCTTTCTCTCTCCCTCACACTCACTCATTCTCTCCAACACTCATTCTCTCTGTCACTCGCTCACTTGTCAATCATGTTATGATGGGACTAAAAGTGACTAATCACTAATCTTCCGTCATTGTTTGGCCAAGACTCCTGGAATTATTTACAGGCCATTGTTATATTGCTGTAACATTGGTAACACTGGTGTTATACTTGGGGTGACCCTGCCTCACTTTAGCAACAAGTAAGGTTACAGTAGTTAGTGTTGAGACGCTTCTGATTTTCCAGTGAGCACCATGCCCAACCAAGCTGCCTACCTCGCCGCCGCCTTCAACAATGCCGCTGACTCATACAATGGCCAGTTTGCTGTCTTCGATTCTAAACCGTCCTACGTACCTCATATATCCAAAGAGAGTAAGAACATCACCATTTATTCCTCCCTCCCTACCTGTGGACATGTCAACCATCATCCCATTCAGTAATCCCTCAGTGTCAGCTGAAGTCTGTTGTCTTGCCTGATAATCACACAATATCCTCTTTGATTAAAAAATTCATGCATTGTTGATGTTTTCCCTGGAACATGTAATATTCAATGGACATAATACAAGTAAAGTCATCCGGGCAAAAATTCATGTTCTTCTGTTATGATTTTTTAATGAATATTAATATCTTTTGGTAAATGTGGAGCAAATACTGTTCCATAAGTATATTGAGTGACTATCAAGGTTGTTGGGTGATCATGTGAGCGTGTTGGTTGCTGCTGGTCTTAGATGAAGTATTGGTTTTGTGGGTCTTTCTGTTGTAAATGTTACTCAGGTTTCTCAACCAACAGGTGCTTGTCATCACACTGCAGCTTAATGGCAACTGTTATTGATTGTTCAAGCCGTAAATTGGGAACAACTTTATGATTGTTCATTTGTCACACAGCCATCTTGTCCCAGACAGTACAAAATGAAATTTCATTCAGTGGGCACGCATATCACCAAGACCAGTTTCAAGACACATATCAGATATTAATTTTTGGGCAATGCCAAGGTGTCGGTTAACCAACTAGGACATGACATGTTTCACTGTTAATTCTCTTGTGTCTTTATGGTAACAGCCCACTTCAAAACTGACCGGAAAAACGCTGTCTGGGATATTGCTGGCTATGGTAAGATGTTTACACTGCAGTGCTATATGACTGCAGTCAGCTGAATGTTGTGGGGTGTCATGTTGTCCAGATCATTTCACTATTTTCCTCATGCATGCGTCCTGCAAGACTTGACTTATTCGGCTGTACTTTTGAGAACTTTATATTCATGTCAGTAGTGGTATTATGTTATCAATGATTTGCTAAACTTCGCATATTTTTGATGGATTACCATATTTCCTCTTATAGATTCCTACCATGTACTGTAATGTGACACCCAGCCTCTCTCCTTCCATTTGGAGCCAGTGTCAGAGAGATAGAGGCCTTGGATACGTTTCACAGAGCAGTCTTAGTGCTAAGACAGTCATAACTCCAATTCTTTCACATACTTTCATGATGTCACTTTGTGAAATGTGTCTCTAAGGTTTATTTGAGGTCCAGTGTCTATTAGAGGAAATATGGTGCTTGTGATTGTGTAATTTTAGTAATGTATTATGCGTGACATCATTTGTTGTTGACATTGTGACACATTGTTTTCACATTCCCATTGGCTTGTTGACATCATGTTTACATTTTGAGAGCATTAATTATAGAAAAAAATAATATTGGGTCACTGATAAAAGCAGCATTGTATTTATTATGAGAGAATATTTTATGACTCCATCTGTTCCTGTATTGGGAACCAGAGCAAATAAGTTTTACATTTGTCCGAATAGTATCCAGAATGTTGGGACCAGGTAGGTGGCTGCTCAGTGAGTTAACTCACAACTGCCATGCACATGTTGGTTATCAGTGTCCCTGGAGCAGATAGTCGTAAGCAGATTGGTGTTGAGACACTGTTTTGACTGGCCAGTGACTGTATACCTGGTAGTTTGCTGTGATGTAATTGTAACTGGTGCTCACTATGACATAACATCATTGTCACAACCAGATTCAAATTCAAAATGCCTTGTGTGTTGTGGACCTAATAACTGTGAAGGATTTGAGGGTTATATTTGCATATTCGATTATGTTTCCAAATTTGTCAGCACCATACCCGTGCTCGTGGGTTTCACCAAAGTGGTAAACGTCTGAGAGCTGCATCACTTCAGGTTTCCCCCCTCATCAAGCTGTCACACTCTGATATGTCTAAAATAATGTTCAAAGCAACATTATACCAAACTCACTCACAGTGACGGGATTTGAAACAGTGTGCATTTCTTTCTTCACAAGGACATCAAGCACTCACCAGTGAATGAACAATGTAGCAAATTCAGTCAGATAATTGTGCTTGCTGATATTAATCTGTGGCTGAAGAACAGTTCTCAGTGTGTCAGTGTTGCTAAGATTGTTTAGACTGTGGTCTCTGTTTCTGACCAATTTTTGTTTCGCTAGTCAGAAGTAGGAACTATCCCATTTAAGTCAATATGGTCCATAGTTCCCTGAGTTCTACGGACACCTAAACCAGTGAGACTAGTTACTGCCGTTTTGATGAAGCTGCAAACATGCCAGATTCTGATCCTTATTTTAAGAATTCTTTTCTTTTCCAGCTCAACTGTATGATGTTCACTGTGGAATGTATTCGGTGACGAGTCCCACAAACCTGTCCCCCTCTCCTCCCCCTCCTCCTCGGATCTACAAGCCTTGTGTTGTCTGTAATGACAAGTCCTCCGGCTACCATTATGGCGTCAGCTCCTGTGAAGGATGCAAGGTGAGACATTCCACTTTTGTTTTCAACTTCATAGCTTTGTTATAATATCAATTTAAAAAAAATAATATAATGATGATGACTCTTTCAGTCTTAACATAGGTTATGTTGTCATTGATTGAATTCCAAGTAACAATTATGTCTCTTGTACTGTTCTTGAGTGGAAATGTATGCAGGAAATGGAAACATTATGACCATGTGATATCCAGGACCATCTTTTAGTTTCTGCTGAAGATTGGTTCAGCCGATGATATGTTTTAGTTTTAAAAAAATTAATGAATACGGAATATTTGATTTGGATTTCCAAGCTAGCCTCCACCTCTCGCTTCTGATCAGACATTACAACTGCTGTTAAAGCCATTTGGGGCATTTCTTTGAAACATTTATATCTGTATCTCCATACTACTGGCTGTTTAGGTGAAATATTGCTCCGAGAGTGTGATGCCTGGGTAATACTGTCATGAATTGTAAAGATTATTAACTTGATAGTTTATCCAATGCAGCCCATGCAAGTCTATTATTGTTGGTGAGTCTAGATTACTGCACTTTCAAAAAGGAAGAGAGTTCTGGGCTCCTTTTTATTATATTTTATTAAGATGATTTAACAAGTGTTTTTTTTCTGTAAAATATTTTCAATTAAGAGACTAGAAGTTAGTCTATTGGTAGTTCTGCAAGTTAAAGTACTCCCATTCTTTTTCAGGGCTTCTTTCGTCGCAGTGTCCAAAAGAATATGCAATATACTTGTCACAAGGACAAGAACTGCCCGATCAACAAGGTGACCCGCAACAGATGCCAGTACTGTCGTTTGCAGAAATGTTTTGCTGCAGGAATGTCAAAAGAAGGTATATTAACTTCTGTGTGATCACTAACCTGGCACCAGATTGTGAAATCCATTAGTGAAAGGTCCCACTTGGGAAGGTACTTGGAAGTGCTGCAATGTTTTCAAGACCCGATGCCCTGGGGGATTCCACTGTGAACAAGTTAGGGTAGAAAGTGGTAGGGCTGGGACGAGTCAAAATTTAATAGCCGGGTACCCAACCCCCTATTACCCGACCCTACCCGGGTGCCCACTGTAGGTTTCAGGAGATGTCTCAAAATGTCCGATTGGGAACATTTTTAGCATAGCCCTGGCAAAACATATTTAGTTACACGTATTAAACAATCTGGTCATTCATACACTGAAGGTGAATTAAGTTATATCCTTATTCAACCATATGAAAAATCAGAAGGAATGGGTGCATTGTCAGAAAGAAATGCGAACATTAGTGACTTGTAGTGCAACCATAGAGTTATAGATAATATTTGTCATTAAACAATATATCACATGACTAACCACGGGTCCGGGTAGTGCTCGGGTCCTACTCAGTACCCACCCGACTCGGGTACCCGATTTAGCCGTCCCAGCCCTAAAAAGTGGCCCAGTGATGCACTTGCCTCAGTGAATAAACTGTAGATTGGATGGTTAAGATGACATCTAAATGGGACTGCATGGTATTACTGGTAAACTTTGATACAGACCTACAATGCAAATTACGATACAATCTAAATGGGACGGTATTTTGAGACAAAACGTAAATAAGTGTATTTTTATATTTGTTTTATCTATAATTAAATAAATTAAGATCTTCCTGGTACAGCTAATCTTAGACGAATAATAATTGTCATATGCTAGAAATATGGAGGAGGAACAAGCAATCTCACAACACGTGTGCCGGCACCACCCAATATTTCTTTCACCAACAAAGGTATTGGTCTCCCGTAATGGTGGCTCAAATTGTTGTCAATGTTTGCACATCATCACGGCCAACAATATCTCATAACTACAGGGGTACGAAATGACAGTGTTTGAATGGTTGACCATCAGAAATAACCCACAGCTACTGCATGACAGATGTTGTTGCCCTGGTTAGTGGATGAGTGTGTGTGCACATTTCATTCTCGTCTCCATAAAGAGTATTCACTCAAGCTGATCATTAGTAGAAAGCTTGCATTCACAGAACCCATTCAATTCTCTTCTTGCCTGGTACCCATTTGCAGCTTGGTGAATGTGGCACATTTGAATAAGTAAATTTTTTAACTTATCCTGCATTACTCCGTATTGCATTTACTGCTATGTTTGACAGCGAGACGAACTGTGTGAGATCCAGCTGCTGAAGAAAGTTGTCCCAACCAGCCCAGGAGGCAGCGCCCTCTCACAGTCGGCACGTGACCCGGAAGTCATGACGTCACACAAAAAGACATAACTGCTTTGTCACCTCCACGGACGGACGTACTTTGTATCCCTTGTGGAAATTAAAGCTTATTATTTGTTTTTTATATTTTGCGTGTTTCTACATTCATTATATGCTGCTACATTGTTACCTGTTATGGGCCGTGACCTTAGGGTCTTCCCATTCGTAAATTGTAACGTTTATCGCTCGTCTGTGGCTCACGTCACAGTAATTTACGGGCGCAATGTTGTTCCCGCCATTTTGTTTTCTTTCCTGCCATTTTGGCCATTCACCACGTGGCCACGTAATGTCGTGATCTGCGTTTTGAATTCTCTCTTTGGCTTGGGTAATACATTACATTTATGTATGTTGTTTTGGTGTGCTTAAAGCCTTGCCTTTTCGCTACCTCTAAGCGTAATTGTTTCTTCTCATAAACTTCAATATAATACGAAGTTTATGAGTTACATTATGTCTCCCGTACTCTGTGGTTTTGCCACATGGTTACGTGTTTGCTTAAGGCTTTGCCTTTTCGCTCCCTTTTAGCGTACTTGTTTATCTCATAAACTTTAATAAAATATACTGTTTTTGAGTTACTTTATGCTTCCCATACTTTGTGATTGGCCACACATTATGCTTCCCGCACTTTGTGGCTTTGCCACATAGTTATGTTTTGCTTAAATTCCAGATTTTCTGCCTCGCTGCACTTGTTGCCGCAGGAACAAATCTGGCCGGGGCCGCCCCTTTCTGCCGTGATTGTACGACGCCCTGTACTTTCACAAGGCAGTGCCGATGTTGCAGTCATTCGTCGCTGTGATCCTTCAGCTCATGCGAGTATCCAGGACACACCTCGCTCAACGTGCTCGTCGACCCCCACCTACGTTGACGGCAGCAGCGCTCAGCGGAGCTTCACGGCGGCTCCCAACGTAGAGTCTGCCTCCCATGGCACGACATACGACCGTTCACGGTCTCCTACTCCACTCGCGGCTCCAGCGCTCCCAACGTAGAGTCTGCCTCCCCTGGCACGACATACGACCGTTCACGGTCTCCAACACCGTCAACGCTGATGTCTCCGGCGCCCCCGGCGCCCCCGGCGCCTCTGATGACACGGCGCCTCCGGCGCCTCTGATGACGCGGCGCCTCCGGCGCCTCTGATGACACGGCGACTCCGGCGCTCCCTGCGCTCCCGGCGCCTCCGGCGCCTCTGATGACGCGGCGCCTCTGATGACACGGCGCTCCCGGCGCTCCCGGCGCTCCCGGCGCTCCCGGCGCTCTCGGCGCTCTCGGCGCCTCTGATGACGCGGCGCCTCCGGCGCCTCTGATGACACGGCGCTCCCGGCGCCTCCGGCGCTTCTGATGACGCGGCGCCTCCGATGTCTCGGCGCCTCTGATGACACGGTGCCTCCGATGTCTCGGCGCCTCTGATGACACGGCGCCACCGATGTCTCGGCGCCTCTGATGACACGGTGCCTCCGATGTCTCGGCGCCTCTGATGACTCGGCGCCTCTGATGTCTCGGCGCCTCTGATGACTCGGCGCCTCTGATGACACGGCGCCTCTGATGACTCGGTGCCTCCGGCGCTTCCGATGACTCGGCGCCGCTGATGTCTCGGCGCTCAACAAGCTTCATGACTTGTTCATGACAAGTTGATGACTCGGCGCTCCCGGCGCCTCCGATGACTCGGTGCCACCGGCGCCTCTGATGACTCGGCGCCGCTGATGTCTCGGCGCCTCTGATGTCTCCGCGCTCCGGCGCCTCCGCATCCTCTGATGTCTTCGGCGCTCAACAAGCTTCAGATCAACAAGCTTTATCAAGCTCAGATCAACGAGCCGACCATCCGATCTTCTACTGCGGCTTAAGGGGCACCATCGGCAATCGCCTCCCCGGCGCCACTGCCCTCTTCTCTTGCTGCCGTCTCATAACTCGTCACACGGAGAAGCATGGTGAAACAACTGTCGCCGCTCCTGTCGCTACTCTCCCGTCGGTCTTCGGGATCGTGACTATCGTACTACTTCCTGGGTGGAATCATTTCAACCAATAGACAGTTGGTCTGATTCAACTTGCCCACTGAGACGTTATCCATAATCCCGTCGTTTAAAGCGCTATGATTCCGGAGAGATGACCTGCGGGTTTCCATCGAAACAGAGCGTCATGTGAACAGCGTCTGTATCAGATTCGATGACGACATCCACTTACAAAGAGTTTACTTCGTCGACATCGCAGACATCAACACTGTTCTACCCTACCCTAGCGCCAGCGTTCCTGAGAGAGACTCTTCCTCGGCGCTCCCCGGGTTTTACACGACGCCCATGGGGTTCCGTGTTTTATCGCAAAACTCGGGTACACCACTTGATCGTCTCTCACACAGTTCATTGAGGATTGTCTGTGTGTGGAGTTTGCACCTCAGTTCCGACTCCAAGGCGGTTTTCTCGGCTACTGCGCAGAGTGATTTACATGTCACGTGTCAAGTACTCGGACTGTCAACAACTCCGACCGGATTTAGGTCAACTTACCATGGCAAGGGGGCCATGTATTTCTACAGATTGGTTTCCATGTCTACCTGTACGCTTGGTGATACCACTCAACCAGGCGCCTGTCGCAGTCCATCCATGCACGGATGTTGGAAACAATAGACCTCCTCTACCAACACGGCTGTCACGAGGAACCTTGTTTCATCAACCCTTCGCTATAAGAACGATAGCGCCTATAGGCGTTCAAGGGATGGAAAAGATCGCCTTCCTTCGTCCGGTTTGATCTTTTCGACTACGACACCTTCCTATCTTCCGCCTTGACTACCGGACACAGTGTCGATTTGATACTTAAAGTCCCTCGGCCGTCCCACTGACCCCTGTTGCATACCTGCCTCGTATCGTGTTGTCGTCCTCCATCGTCACCTCGATATAAGAACAGGAGTACTTATACGCCGCTTCAGGGATGAAAACGATCTCATTACTTCGTGCAATGGCCATATTGCCTCGACTTCCTACTACCCGGTTACGTCGATGCCCCGGCGGTCGATTGTGAAGCTAGTTTACTTCGTCTACTTGAGGTTGGCTCGCAGGCGATCACACCTTTTTCCGAATCGTACCGACGGTACGCAATCGCAGACCCCTGTTGCTGACTACCTCCCCTGCCACCTTGTCAGTGGCTAGTGGCCCACGCCAGCCCACATTGTGACCTGCTGTGATCCAGAGATCAACACCATAGGCACAGCAACAGCCTCGAGATAAATGCTTATCCAGGACGGCACTTGCTGACAGTGCATTCTCGGTCACGCCCTGTTGATCGTGTCCACTGACGACGTCACCGTAGTGTGGTGTTTGCGGACCCAGAGTTCTCGCCCCTCTCCCGGCGCTACAAACTCGACCGGCGCCCCCGAGAATCACCATCTTAGGCGTTCCAGGCGCCTCAAGCTCTCCGACGCCTCACGCTCTCCGGCGCCTCGGGCCAGACTATGTCAAACGGTCGACACCCCAACCCTAGATCTGTTTGCCTCATATCTGAATGTGGCCAGCAGTCGTCTTCCATTCCACCTGTGCCGGATACGACCGCTGTGGCAGTCAAAGCCTTCCATCGTTCCTGAGAAGGATTACGCGCGTACGCTTTTCCGACTCCGGTTCTCCCTCCCACGGTTCTTCAGAGATCCAGGCCACTCGACCCCTGCCATTGACTTTGGTCTCGCCTTATTGGTCAGCCAGAAGTTGGGTTATCGACCTCCGAAACATAGCCAGAGACAAACCCCTGGAACTTCCTGTGTGGTCCAACCACACGGTCTGTTGCCACACCCTCATACCCGCATGTTATCGTCTGCACGCCTGACACACATGCAGAAAGCCAAGGGCTATTCGGCTAGAGCGACCAAGGCTATTGCTTCAGCCCACCGTCCATCTACAGGGGGACTGTATGCTGATAAATGATGCTTGTTCCAGGCATTTTGTTCTGACAAACACCAGGATCCGATGACAGCGTCACCGCAGATTCTGGATCAGTTCCTTCTGTACTTGTGTAGCACCCGTCGGTTGAAGGGCTTACCACCCCCACATACCTGGTCGCCATCTACTCCGTTCTGGCCATCCCGGACGATCGGAGAAAGACGAAAATTCCCGACCTACGGGCCTGGCTGCGCTCGTTCAGTCTTGAAGACCTGAATACCAAGTTCGGACCGCCTGCGTTGGATCTGAATGTGGTCTTCAACGCCCTTCGAACCACTCCCCTCGTCTTCCTTCTACGACCTTAAGTAGAAGACGGGTGTTTCTACTGGTTTTGACTACTGCCGCTCGAGTCCATGTACAGCACGCCCTCGACGTCTCCCATGCCCGGTTCGAATGCGGTACCCAGGGCGCCGTTCATCATGGACCGTACTGGGACGTCAGCGTAAAGACTCAACTCCCAGGACAGCCTGATAGATCATTCCTTGTCCCCTCCCCCCTCGTCCAGTGTGGGTGCCGAGGATGAGGATGTGCGTCATTATGCCCAGTAAGGGCACTGAAGGTTATTCTACGACCTAAAGACTGCCGCAAGTCTAGGAAACACCTTTTTCTGCCGGTCTCCCCTTCGTCGCTGTCGTTGGTCAGCCGGAATACTTTTCCCTGTGGCTCCGGGCGGTCATCCTTAAAGCGTATGAGCCGCCGGATTGGACCCTCCCCCCAAAGGCTATTACCTGAAATAAAATGAGATCAGGGCGATCGTATTTACACTGGTTCTTCACGGTATACTGTTCCATCCCGTCGTTCAGGGAAGCCTGTTCGTGGCGATCGGACACCGCCTTCACCAACCACTACTTCAGTGATGTAGCCTTGAAAGTTGTCGCCAGTGTTCACAGTTTTGGTCCCTGGTTGTAGCCCAACAGGTCATCTATCTCCGACGCCACTGATTCTCCGATACCCTGAGCGGGGCCCGTCGACCTCTCTGGTGTTTATCACCCCAGACGAGACGGCTCTCTTGCGTTCCGCATTCGCTCTTAGGTCAGTTTTAGTTTTGGGTTACCCGACTCATTCTATTGCTGTCACCTATCCGGGTTTTACTTTTTGCATCAACTCTCGTTTCCTGACGACAGGAATGGTAGTAGATGTGGACACCGGCGCCGACGCCAACGCCGCTGCTTCTCTGGTACCTGAGCGGTGCCCGTCGACCTCACCGGTGTTCCTTGCCTCCAGCCTAGAGGGCTCTCCTGCGTTTCGCATTCGCTCTTGGGATTGGTCGTAGATTTTGCCGCCGACGCCGCTGATTCTTCGATTCCCCGAGCGGGGCCCGTCGAACTCTCTGGTGTTTATCACCTCAGATTAGAGGGTTCTACTGCGTTTCGCTTTCGCTCTTCGGTAAGTTATATATTTTGGCTACACGCCTCATTGTATGTCGGTTACCTATTCGGGCGTTTCGTTTTTGCATCGACTCTTGTTTCCTGAAGACAGGAATGGTCGTAGATGTTCCGGTCATCACTTGTATGCGGTGCGGATTCATCGGACCTTGACGAGGGTTTAATATGGTTCACATCTGCAGGTATGCCCACCAGCCAAGCCGTCTGATAAAGATGCAATACGGAGTAATGCAGGATAAGTTAAAAAATTTAGTAAAATCTAAATATTTTTTACATTTGTATACTTATCCTGCATTACGAAGTCTAAGTGCCCTCCCTTTCGCTACGCTACCTCCCCACGAAGTTTCAGATGTTATGTTTAAAGCAGTTATGTCTTTTTGTGTGACGTCATGACTTCCGGGTCACGTGCCGACTGTGAGAGGGCGCTGCCTCCTGGGCTGGTTGGGACAACTTTCTTCAGCAGCTGGATCTCACACAGTTCGTCTCGCTGTCAAACATAGCAGTAAATGCAATACGGAGTAATGCAGGATAAGTATACAAATGTAAAAAATATTTAGATTTTACTAATACTTAACAGATACAAGTAAGATGGGGCTGTATCTTATTTCAAGAAAAAATGCAGAAATGTAAAAAGGAAGTTATCTGAAAGGACTGTCACTCTCCCTACTTCACAGTCGTGTAAAATATCACAACTATGTATGACATTTTGTTTATCTTTCTTCAGCTGTTCGCAATGATCGGAACAAGAAGCGCAAAGTCAAACCAGAGTGCACCAGCAGTCCCAATGAGGACTTGACCGGCGATGACCAGAATCTTATACAGGATATTCTGGACGCTCACAGAGCAACATTCATATCGGACATGGAGGATAGTCCGGAATCGGTAAGCAGACTTGAATGATTCAAAACATGTGAATAATTCATATTCAATTCAATTTTTACCCTGAAAATCATATGTCTTGAAATGCAGTGGAAGTTAGATCCTTTCTCGTAACTTTCTGAACTGACTTGGCTGGCAACGTTGGAGAAGGCAGCCCTTATGCATGTTATATGTCATCTTCCCGAGGCAAGGGAATTAACTGACTGAGAAAGTTTCAATTTCCACCCTTGCCGAACTAGGCTGGAATTTCTGAGCTCAGTTGAGGCCACCTGTGGCTATTACAAGTTATGTACCTTCTAAGTCCCTTTTATGTCCCTACTGTTGACCAATCAGATTCCACCTTTCATATCACTTGCATTTGCTTCAAACAGAATAGCGGCATCCAGTCTGATCAATAGTCAAAATCTGTATTGTAATAAAACGGGTCTTACCTTGCAAAGTAAATCAAATCACGTGAGCACCTTGATTAAAAAACATGAAAAGGTTTGGAAAATGTCTGTCAATGCCCAGTTGACGGTACACATGCTCTGCAAATCTTGCAATTGACCGAAATCTGCATGGCAGTTTTACAAACTGAGAGTCAATTTCGTTACACATTGATTCGAATATGCATAGACTCGTTGGTCCAGTCAAGTTATAAATCTATAATTCCTGCCTAGTTTGACAAGGGTGAATACAAGACTTTTATAGTCAGTTAACTTCCTTGCCTCAGGAAGTTGGTATATAATTTGAGTCTGGGTCAGGCAAATGGATATGGAAGATGGATATATGTAGTTTCTAGTAGTTCTGTGCACAGTTACAAGAACAGTTGGATAGCTGTTGCAATATTTGTTATTACCATTCACATTTGGTTTTCTTCTTTCAGCCATCCTTGAAACCACGTGAAGAGGAGGACAGTGTTATATTATGGGAGAGAATTAGTGAATTATCCTCAGATGGTATTGTGAAAATTGTGGACTTTGCCAAGAAACTCCCTGGCTTCTCAACACTTTCACAGTCGGATCAAATTACATTACTAAAGGCAGCATGTTTAGAAATTATGGTGAGTCTTCCTTCACCTGCATACATCTCTGCACCTTCAGCCTGGTATTATGATACATTTTTATCTTACCTTACACGTGAATGTCGGACCCATTCTATTATTTCCAATGTAACATGTAAGGTACATTTCTTATGTTCCCACTCAAATTGCTGAACTGTTGGCATTACATTTGCATCATACCAACCAAGATGTTATACCTTGAATGATGTAAGACACCATTCTTACAATATATACAATATTTTCTGAATGAAATAGATCTAAGGGGACTCCAAGTTGTTTTCTGTAGTGTGATTCGATGAATGTTGAAAATGAACAAATTCTGGAATTGCCTAATTGTGGTATTCTGACCGATTTGGACCAAAGGATGCTTGCATAAGACATACCTTCAATATAGTTAGGTGTGCGGTAACATAAATGTGTTGTCCACCAGTCCCATGGGTGACATGGGTCGATGTACAGGCGGACAACTTATTTTGTTCCATATGCAGTGGAACCCTGTTGATCTTGACAGTACTGGTCCCACTGACTTCATCAGGATAAGCATATGTCGCATTAATGTATCGTGGTTATGGTGAAATGTCATTATATATATGTGTGGATGTCCACAATTAATGTAGGCTTTAAGGATTTAGATCCATTATTAAGCTCTGTTTACCATCTAAAGAAGAGTGCCCAGTACTCCCTGCTTGTTGTAAGATTGAGGATTTGGTGTTTACTGTCCAACCTGAAACACTGTATCACTAGGTATCATTGTATCCTGATGACATGGATCATTGTATCATTGTATCCTGATGACATGGATCATTGTGTATCATTGTATCCTGATGACATGGATCATTTGTATCAATGTATCCTGATGACATGGATCATTGTATCATTGTATCCTGATGACATGGATCATTGTATCATTGTATCCTATAGACATGGATCATTGTATCATTGTATCCTGATGACATGGATCATTGTATCATTGTATCCTATAGACATGGATCATTGTGTATCATTGTATCCTGATGACATGGATCATTGTATCATTGTATCCTGATGACATGGATCATTGTGTATCATTGTATCCTGATGACATGGATCATTGTATCCTTATGACATGGATCATTATGTATCATTGTATCTCAGTGACATGGATCATTTCGTATCATTGTATTCTGATGATGTGAATCATTGTTTATCATTGTATCTCAGTGACATGGATCACTGTGTATCATTGTATCCTGATGATGTGGATCATTATGTATCATTGTATCTCAGTGACATGGATCACTGTGTATCATTGTATCTCAGTGACATGGATCATTGTGTATCATTGTATCCTGATTATGTGGATCATTGTGTATCATTGTATCTCAGTGACATGGATCGCTGCGTATCATTGTATCTCGATGTGTATTATTGTACTACTGGTGTGAGTGAGTTAGTAGGGTTTTATGTGACTTTTAGCAATATCACAACGGAATGGACGCCAGTGAAAGGCTTCACACATTGTACCTTTGTATAGAATCAAACCCAGGATAAGCCTTGCAAACCATATGGACATTTATGCCATTTTGTGATGGTTGCTATGGAGTTCTAAATGTTCTGTTTCACTGGACCCTTACATGTTTGGTTCCTTAGCTATTAAGTCATTAGAAATACAGAGATTTGAGGTTTTTCTATCTATTTTAGATATTGCGACTGAGCGCACGTTATGATGCAGCCCTCGACTCCATGGTGTTCATGAATGGGGTGACGTTAAACAAGGATCAGCTACAGCAAGGAGGGTTTGGCAATCTCACAGGGACTATCTTCAGCTTTGCTGCTTCACTTAAAGCTATGAGCACAGATGAAACAGAGTTTGCAATCCTGTCAGCCATATGCTTGATCAGCGGAGGTAAGACAACAATTTGATTCTTTATAAAGATTAAAACGTAAGTTCAGTATTGAAACAAATTCTGAATTCACACTTAAAACTGATTTGCAATGTTATGTGACAGTTTGTTTATCCATATTTGCTGGTGCTAATTTCTGAATTATTACCAGTGGCATAATTTATGTACAGTATAAGTACCCACTATGTGGCTGTGTATGTCAAACTGTATTCCCGAGAGATATCCTACCGCAAATGTATCTCACTGCCATGTTTATCATTTACTACAATTTGAAAACTGGAATTGCATATATTACAGGATCTGTTTCAATAATAATGGGGTATATTTTTTCAGTTGTAGTCCATGGAAATGTATGAGAAAATGTCATTAACCAATAAAATACAAGTATTTTACATATGAAGTGAGATAAGCCATAAAACACACTTCAGAGTATTTAGGCTATGCAGGTGGCCAAGCAGTCTAAGGCACTGCAGTGGATTGTGCAGAGTTCCTTCCCCTAGTTGTGCCAGTATCCACTGATTCTAATCAAAAATTTTCCCTTGATATAAATACTTAATTACCTCACAGTACCGCCTCCATTATGTAGTGGATTGAGAATCTGCTTAAGAGCTGCATCAAACCAAAAGATGTTTAAAGATGGTACTTGCTTTTACTCTCCCTGGTCTTCGGCATTAAGGGGATGAAACAAGGACTGGTCAGTATAATGCCTCTGAGTATTCTTGTTAAAAGGCGGTTTGGTATCTCAGTGGGCTAACACCAGAAAACCCTTTAAGTCCAGATTAGTACAAACAGCCATATTATTTAAGTGCCATAATATTTAACGCAATGTTAAAACCCTTTTCACCTCACCTTTCTTACCTTATGGAGGAACAAATGTGACACAGTGGGTGAGGGGGAGTAGGGAATGTCTAAGACCTGCATTATTTGGGATTTCCTCCCACATGAAGCTAATGAAGCTATCCACAGTGAGTTTGGTAAGACCCTAGATTCTGAAAAGTTTATATGTCAGATGGATATAAGAAATACTGCTCAGATTTGACACTACAAGTTTTTTCCTAATCTTCAGATCGCTCAGGGTTACAAGATACAGAGAAAATTGAGCAGATGCAAGAGCCATTACTGGAGGCATTGAAGCATTACACTCGCTCTCGGAGGCAGGAACAGCCGCATATATTCGCCAAACTCCTCATGAAGCTAACTGATCTCCGAAGTATAAGTGTTAAAGGTAAGACCTCTTCTCCTTCCCTCTGTATACACCTTATCCTTCATTGTACGCTGGGGCTTGACCATAACCTGATTTATTGGATATCACAGGAGATAGGAGAGTTGGAGGTGTGGAGTTGTGGATTATTATTTCCTCCTATGATATATGAACAGTATTATTGACAGGTTCGTTCATAAAAGATTATCTTTAGAGTGTTTTTTACATTTTTGTAATGCTCTTTAAACCTGACATTTTCAAATATATCTAAAGGAAAGACAGTCGCCAGAAAGTGTCCATAGTAACATTTCTTTGGCAGTTTTGTTTCTTCAATGCAAAATTTTAGATCTTTCCTGAATATCCAGTAAATCAATGCTTGTAATATTGCATATTAAAAATCCCCATATTTATGCTTTGCAGTTTTTAGTGCTAATTTTAGTCTTGCATATTGTTTGCACATTATTGGTGAATGTAGCTGATTGAGGTTTCAGCTTGATTTGCTAGTATATTTGGTTGCTGGATTTGCTTGTGTATGTAGATTTCTTGCCAATCCATTTTCATTTGCTCATTTCGGTTTTGCAGTCATATATATCATCACATGCACATCTAACTTTAGTATTTAAGAATATCTTTCGGCTGAGCACTTCTCTTAAGGTATTAAAATAGTTTGAAAAAAAAAGAGAAAATAACATTTGATGCTATGCATTTCAAACTTACGTACATCAGTGTAATTAGTGTCCCCTGCTTATTCATATGTCCATGCTGGTCTGTGCTGAATGTAAGGAATTGTGCCAATCCTAATCCAGGGAAACTCATTATAACTGAAGGTCTCTAATTGTGGACAATATCATCAGAACTGCTGTAAAGGAGGAGTAAGAGTATAAACAGGATTAGTAAGAGTGTATACAGAATTAGTAAGAGTTTATATAAGATTAGTAAAGGTGTGTAAACAGGATTAGTAAGAGTGTATACAGGATTAGTAGGAGTGTAAACAGGATTAGTAAGGGTGTAAACAGGATTAATAGAAAGTGGACACATGATTAGTATGAGTGTAAACAGGATTAGTAAGAGCAAACACAGAATAAGTATGAGTGTAACTAGGATAAGTATGAGTGTAAACAAGATTAGTATGATTGTAAACAGGATTAGTAAGAGTGTACACAGGTTTAGTTGGAGTGTACACAGGATTAGCAGGAGTGTACACAGGATTAGCAAGAGTGTACACATGATTAGTAAGAGTGTACACAGGATTAGTAAGAGTGTACACAGGATTAGCAAGAGTGTACACAGGATTAGTACGAGTGTCCATAGGATAAATCAGAGTGTACACAGGACTAGTAAGAGTTGACACAGGATAAGTAAGCGTGGACACAGAATTAATAAGAGTGGACACAGGATTAGTATGAGTGCTCAGGATTAGTAAGAATGTACACAGGATTAGAAAGAGCTTACACAGGATTAGTAGGAGTGTAAACAGGATTAGTAAGAGCGTTAACAGGATTAGTACAAGTTTGTTTTGTTTTTTTGTTGTTTAACACCGCACTCAGCAATATTCTAGCTATATGACGGCGGTCTGTACAATAATCGAGTCTGGACCAGACATACCAGTGATTGACATCATGAGCATCGATCCATGCAATTGGGATCAATGCCATGTATCAACTAAGTCAGCGAGTCTGACCATCCGATCCCGTTAGTTGCCTTTTACGACACATGATAAGTAAGAGTGTATACAGGATTAGTAAGAGTGTACACAGGATTAGTACAATTGTAAATAGGATAAGTAAGAGCATAAACAGGATAAGTAAGATTGTAAGCAGGATTAGTACGAGTGTACACAGGATTAGCAGGAGTGTACACAGGATTAGCAAGAGTGTACACAGGATTAGAAAGAGTGTACACAGGATAAGTAAGAGTGGACACGGGATAAGTAAGAGTGGACACAGGATTATTAAGAGTGGACACGGGATTAGTAAGAGCTTACACAGGATCAGTAGGAGTGTACACAGGATTAGTAAGAGCGGACACAGGATAAGTAAGAGTGGACACAGGATAAGTAAGAGTGGAAACAGGATTAGTAAGAGTGGACACGGGATTAGTAAGAGCTTACACAGGATCAGTAGGAGTGTACACAGGATTAGTAAGAGCGGACACAGTATTAGTAAGAGTGTATACAGGATCAGTAGGAGTGTACACAGGATTAGTAAGAGCGGACACAGGATAAGTAAGAGTGGACACAGGATAAGTAAGAGTGGACACAGGATTAGTAAGAGTGGACACGGGATTAGTAAGAGCTTACACAGGATCAGAAGGAGTGTACACAGGATTAGTAAGAGCGGACACAGTATTAGTAAGAGTGTAAGCAGTGTTAGTTAGAGCGTACTAAGGATCAATAATAATGTACACAGGATTAATAATAATGTACACATGATTAATATGAGCGTACACAGGATAAATAAGAGTGTACATAGCATTAGTATGAGTGTACTCAGGATTAGTAAGAATGTACATAGGATTAGTAAGAGCTTACACACACAGGATTAGTAGGAGTGTACACGGGATTAGTAAGAGCGGACACAGTATTAGTAAGAGTGTAAGCAGTGTTAGTAAGAGCGTACTAAGGATTATTAATAATGTACACAGGATTAATAATAATGTACACAGGATTAATATGAGCGTACACAGGATAAATAAGAGTGTACATAGGATTAGTATGAGTGTACTCAGGATTAGTAAGAGTGTACACAGGATTAGTAAGAGCTTACACACACAGGATTAGTAGGAGTGTACACGGGATTAGTAAGAGCGTACACAGGATTAGTAAGAGTGTAAGCAGTATTAGTACGAGTGTACACAGGTTTAGTTAGAGTGTACAAAGGATTAGTACAAGAATATACAGGATTAGTAGGATAATAAGCAGGATTAGTGGGCTCGTAGACAGGGCTGGTAAGAACGTACACAGTATTAGTAAGTGTAAACAGGATTAGTAAAAATGTATTCATGATAATTAAGAATGAAAACATTTCTTACCGGTCTTTTAAAGACTGTGAATAGTGTTAGTAAATGGTTGAAAAAATTTCACCACCAACCAATAGGTGCTTTGAACTTGGATATACATCTTGGACACTAATTATACTGATTGAAATATGTTGTGGGGTTAAAACAGTTAATATTGCATTGGACATTAACACCGAAATTTATCAAGTTCTTTACTAAAGTTAGATGTGCAAGAGACATTTGGTTTGCTCGCTTTGCACATAAATGTCTGGCTATCGCTTCCCGCCCTCATTTTCTCCATCTTCCTGTGCTCTAGGTGAAAAGCAGACACTTCGTTTCGCGCTAGACCACTTGGCTAATGCCCTCTCTCTCCTGGAGGCACCTGCCTCTAGCCAGCCCATTATCAAGAAAGAACCCCTCTCAGATGATGAACCCAGCTCCAGTAGAAAACCTTCATCTACCACATTCATGCGGAGTAATGTCGGAGGCCAAAATGTGCCTCAGTATCAAGGGACTGTACACACAAACATTAACCTTATGGCCATGAACCCCAGCAGCGTAAGGTCACCTGAGTTCATGGGGTCAAGGTTACCGTCCCCACGAATGGGACCGCTGCCAGATTCGTCCATTCCCTCACCCCTGGGGATGGGGATGTCGCCCAGGCAGCTCAGTCCGAATCAGACAGTATCAGTGGGAGGAATGGGATCGATGGGCACTCCCTCCCCGCCCTTCCCCTCCGTCACATCCCCCAACATGCCCAACTACCTCACTGGTCTGTCGCCAACTCTGTCTCCTATCTCCTTTTCATCGTCGTCATATATAAGCTCCATGATGTCATCGCCAGTCGCCTCCAACAACGTGTCATCGAGCGTGGATGAAAACATTATGTCCAACATTCATAACTCTATATCTGACGGGATGCAGTCCATGGTGCCAAATATGGAAACTCAGCAGTTTGGTTTGACGCAAAACCTCAATAGGGCACAGATTGATGAGATTTTACGCAGCAGTCACTTGTTAGGGCAGCAAGCAGGGAACAATATCACCGACTTGGAGACAATGAAACATTCTTACAACCCAGGCCGGAACAATACCAATAATAACACCAATGGTAATGGAATTATGCCAACAGGGTTATACCGAAGTGATGTAAATGGAACTCAGCTTGTTTTGAATGACGTCGGCCCCAGCACAGACCATCATGCTCCTCTCAGCAAAATTATTGCTGGAGCTATGACTGATTCCATGCAAATTTGAATGTAGCCAAAGGTTGTGAGGCAGGAAAAGCTCTTTGCTGTATAATATTGAATATTATTATCTGTATAATTAATGCGTGTAAAAATGATCATATTTACCATATAAAGAATTGGGTCACTTTTGAGTATTATACGTAGAATTTACCTAAGTTATGTTATTGGACCTTTGCAATCTTGAAATGGAAGATCTGGAGGTTGCTGCTGTGGAGTTTGAGGATCGAGATTTGGTGGAGACAGAGTTCGGGGCCTCCAGAAAGGGAGAGGGCTGTTGATTTAGTGATCATTACTTCTGCTTCTCATTCAAGGGGAGAGAAATCATGAAGTTAAACATGAATTGAATCTCAAGTTCCTGATTCCAAAATTTTCTTCAGATAAGAAATTCAATCCTGAAGATTGTTATTAAATCTTTTTGGTTTATTTTATACTGTTTATTTTCATGTTGTGAACTGTTTGTTTGTTTCTCACCTTGAAGCATTTAGAAAGACATTGCCATTATCTCACAGTGCGCAGCATTAGGAACTGTATATTGATCATGCAAGCTTTTGCAGTTAGTTGTCTGCTTTTCTGCTTTGCTTGACTTGTTTGCCTGTTGACTGGTGATCACCTTGTTGCGATTAGGCAGGTATGTTCACCACTAGGTGAAGTAGAATTACATTTTGTAGACAATGAAATCTGATAGCAAACACCAAGTGACATTACAATTCTAGTGCTCGCCAACTTTTTTCAGCTTTGTTATTCTATGTTATATTATTTATGCCTGTTACATAGTGACTATTATTATCATTGATAAATTACATGACATGGAGGCACCTACCCATGTTCCTTTCTCTTTTAACTCCAGCAGGGGTTTGCAGGGCCTTTAATTTGTTTTATTGGGGAAATGATTTGGAACTCCAAGTTTCATTGATTCTACTGGTTCCGCAAGTTTTAGCTCAGTATAGGGGGCACAAGTGGCCCAGACGTCTAAGGCGCCGCGATTCGCTGTGCAGAGTTGCGTCCCTTGGGCACGCCAGAAACCTATGATTGTGGGTTCGAATCCCAGTTCACCCAGATCATGTTTCTAGGTTTGTCACCACCATACCCGTGATCGTGGGTTTCACCGAAGTGGTAAACGTCTGAGACCTGCTTCACTTCGGGCTTTCCTCCCACATTAAGCTGACGCGCCGCGATATAACTGTAATACTATTATAAGCAGCATTAAACCCAACTCACTCACTCACTCATTAGCTCAGTATATGTTCTTTGTACTCAAGTTTTCCTGCATCTGTAAAGCATTCTAATATGATATTAAGACAAAACAAAACAGGATTGTAAGAATTTTCAACGCACATTGTTATTTTATGTTTGATATGGACCCAGACATTGCTGCAACATATTATGTTGACATGAAAATCTCCAACATATTCATTCTTATAAGTGTAAAATTCTTGAATTTATGGTCAAGGGGAGGTAATTCACATTTGGGTTATCTCCCTTTGTAACAAAAGTGAACTGAGGTGTGGCCTTTCCTGCATGTGTAGCAGAATAGCAGCTTGTATTGTTTACCTCTTTGCCTTAAAATCTTTTGTTATTTTTCATATTTATTGTAGTAGGTAGAAAGATAATTCTTCCAGGTTTTCCTATCTTATACTTTAAGCCACTGAAAATCAGTCAATTGTTTTTGCAAGAGGTGTTACGAAGCTCAAACAATTCTAAGTGCTAACTTGCTATGTGTAGTGCTCAGAGTAAAACCATTTGCTTACGGTGAACATACCTGCTGAGTTTTAGTACATTGCAAACAGTGTTGTCTGGCTGTTAAATGAATAACATGTTTAAATACTATTAATTTCAAGCTTTCTGTACAGTGTATGAATTGTAAATAATTTTCAAGATCAATCAATTAAAGCATTTTGCAGATTTTCAAATAACATGCCCAGGATTCAGAATTCATCTTTCATCAGTCTAACAATACTTTTTTAAAGGTAATACATGTATATGGATACAAATCTGCCAATGTGTTAAAGACATCTTAGCAGTGTTTGAAAGAATCTCAGCTTCTTGCATAATTTTTTAAAAGCCAAAAGCTCTTTGTGAGTTTCAAACTTTAAAATTAAAAAAGTATGCTAATGATGTTATTCAGCAGCTTTATCTTGTTTGGTTGGTACTTGATACAGTCCAATAATCAATGAGTACTCAGCCAGCCATACTCAGTCATTGGATAATCACTATAACTGGCTAAGCATATGCTGCAATCACAGTTCAGGATTTGCACCTCTATGTTGTGTAGAGGATCCACTTATCTCGGGTTCGATTACCAGATTTCGCCCAGGCATGATCCGTGCTTTCTCAGCGTCATAACTAGGTTAATGGGTTTGCAGAACAGTGACCTGCCAGAAACCTATGATATGGGAATCCCATATTCGGCCAGATTATGTTTGTTGGTTTGCCAGCACCATATTCACCAGTTTTACCAAAGGGATAAATGTCGCTGAACTGCATCACTTTGGGCTAGACTGACATACAGGGATATGACTAAAACATATCCAAATAGCTTTAGACCTCTCTCACTCACTGAAGAGAGTGCTGTTGAATGCTTTATCCATTGGCTACTGACCTACTTCCTGGTAACAACTGCTTTGGGCCAAAGTGTCAAGTAAACATTTTTAAGCCACAGACCAGATAACCTGTTATACAATATCTAACCGCAAACATAATTTGACACATATTTTCAAAGTAAACATCTGTTAAATTCAAACTTTGTGTTATATATACCGGTGTTGAAACATTAGTCAGCTTGTTTATGATTTATTTTTAAGAAAAATATGTTATAGTTGTTGATTTAGAAAATATGTTTTTACCTTTATGTAGACCTTGTGTATATATATAGCCTTTGTTTTTGCTTATGTGTGTACTTTTATCAGATGTTTCTGTTTGGTTTGGTTATCTTTCATTCACTAATGTTTCTAACAAAACAACCTCATTCATCCAAAAGAACCAAATTCAAATGTAAATCATTATGTTGAAGTCATATTTTAATGATACCGGTTTATCGGGAGGCAATACTCCAGAAACAGATGTTCTTGTGTATACCTGTGTATACAAATTATACTAATATGATTATTATGTTTAGTTGAACTTGTATATCTAGCTGAATAAATATTGGATATCAGACAAACATGCATTTTCAGAATCTTTTGTGGAGTTTTATAAAATCTTTGTAACTGTTGCTAGTATTAGTGGGGGCACTCACTTGAATATCCACCAACAGATCACTGTCGAAAATGTTCAACCTGGCTTATACTGATTTCTATGGGCAAACACTTTGTTGATTTTAGGAAAATTAAGTTTATTTTTTATTTTGAGTGACAAATGTTTTGTTAAGATAAATTCAACAAGTATGTAAAAAAAAACATGGCCAGTGTTGGAATATTTTATATAAGGTAGAATGCACATTGATTGATTTTTTTATCTAATTAAATATGATGCAACTATCCTGCAGTGGTATGTATTGTTATGGTTTCCATACTTTCTGTAGCTATTATATCTATTCTGTGAACCATATACAAAGTAAAATTATGGTATATCTTTGCATATATGCAATCATTGGCATAATGTACCTGATGGAGAAATCCAGTGGTATCTCTCCAGTTTTTTTTTATGTGAAATTCATTTGTATTTGACTTTGGACAATGGACTAATAATCACTTATGAAATTCATTAAGATGTTATGGGTTAATGAATTTAATAGTCATACTGGTATGCTATTACACTGTTTATATCATGTGTTCATCAACTCGGAGTAAGTATTAACATTACCAGTAAATGAAATTTTCCATTTAGTAACTGCCTCATACATGGTGTCTCTAACTGGTTCAGATATGTTACTGCTTACATTCAAATTATTTTGTATTGATTAGAAGGGGGAAATATATAATAAAGTGATTTGTTTAAGTATAACATTCCTTCAGAAATAACCATCTTTTGGCACATAAAGGCACTTCCATGAAAAAATATATTGCATGTTAATGTCTCTGATTTTTATGCATTATGTGTTAAATTGTCATGTTTGTTTTTTCAGGTGCTGAACGGGTATTACATTTACGACTAGAGATGCCAGGAGAATTGCCTCCATTGATATTAGAAATGTTAGATAGAGCTGAGAATGTGTGTATTCCTTGACTACGGCTTTATGCTTAGTTTAAATTACAGACAATTTGGTGATACATATTGGCCAGTTCTTTCTAAAAGAGGTCACATTGCCATACAGCATCTTTAACATTAAATATGTGATCATTTCTTTCCAAGAAAGACTACAATAAGTAATACAACCAAAAGGGAGGAAACTCTTGGGAGAATGGAATGAAGGGAGATGACTCTTCCATCACATAGGAAAGTGGTTTCATTGGCTACATCCAGAAGTGTTCAAGTGAGCGATTAGTAAAGGAGAGAACTGTCACCAATCAAAGGGAAGCAACTCCTTACTGGATGCAAACAGCACACGGACAACCAAAGTGTTATGACAGCAAATGAGTGATATACTATGGAGAGACATAAGATTGTTGCCTGTCATATCAAGGGAGGTAACTCCAATGACACATAACTCGAGTGATTTGCTGCTGGTGATGAGATGATACCTGGTGATGAGAATTGGAGAGGAAGTCATGTGTTTTCATGAGATTATTTTTGTGTCTGGTTCGGAAACCAGTGACTATCGGTATCAATGCCATATGCTTTGGTTTTACCCAGTTTTGTGCTAGTTTGACATGAAGATTATAGGAACTTTGAAGTTAAAGATCGCGATAAGCTCTAAAGTTCATTGAAAATAATATTGCTCTTTATTTTTTACCACAAAGTTGTTTGACTCAAAGTCATGATATGCCATGGCATTGGTTTCTGTTATAAAGTGTAACCAAGATATTTCTTCAAATTCTCTTTTGAATTCTGGAAGATGTACATGTTTTTAACATACAAATTTGAACTCCTACTTCTGTGTTTAGATAAAGGAGGTGGGTTAAAGTTGGGAGGGTTGATTACTACTAAGTGTTTTGTCCTCATTTACAATTTTATTACTATTTTTTGGTTGGAGTCACAAAAAATAGGATCATTTATAAAGTACCCTTTTACTTAAGCTGACACATACAGCCACGATTTATGCCAAATTGGAAAAATTTTAAGCCATGATAGTTAATATATTATATAAACAGGGGGATTATTTAATCCCATATTTAAAAAAAAAATTGAAGGACCATTGTTGTAGACTTAGGACTGAATATCGGCTCCTGAGCTTGAGTAGATAAACCCTGGCCACCTTCAGACATTGCAAATATTTCCAATAATAATTTTTTTCTTGTACACATGAAATACAAAATTCATATCAAATGAAGGTTATGTTTAGATCACAACTGTAGTAAGATCCCGACTTCTGTAAAACAAAGAATCAGAGAGAATATTAATGTGCAAAACAGTCCCTCTTATAAGTTGACTCAAGTTTTCAAACAAATCTACTGTGTTACCATTTATGTTGTTTGCATATTTGGAAAAACAAGATATTAAGATGTTAAAAGATTCAAGATGAGTTTTATTTGACTATGACACCAAATCAGTCCAAAAATATTTAAAAACCATTGTGAGGTGAGTCAGCTCTTTTTAGAATTGCCCTTTGATTACTGGGTTTAGTATGTTTTTAATATTTCAGTTTGATTAATTTCACTTCTTAAATTGTGACAAATCTTGCTTAAAAGTGCTACAATCTGGCAAAGGAATGTGACATGGATTTTTGTGTGTACAGAGAAAGTTTCATTGTTTCAAACTATCTCAGGGTTTATGTAAAGGTGTACGTGCTGTCCTTGTCTAGCAGACTGTGTACTCAAGGGATGTAGATGCTAGTGGTTGTCCATTACCTATACGCAGATCACTTACACCATCATTGTAAAGCATGTTGAAAGATGATTCAGTTCAAAAATATGTTCCATAACAGTATGAATGAAGGAATGATTAACAGTAGTTTAAGTAGTTTGAATGAATTTATCAAAATGATGAAAAATACCTAAATATTTAAAAAGTGAGATAAATATTCATATTCTAGGGGGAGAGTGAATATTTTAAAACTAGAAATGATAATTTGCTTATTTTCTTTTCCTTTGTACAAAGGTGTTGCTAGGCATTCTATCATATTTCAATTGCCTTATTTATTTTCCATTTTGCCTTCATGTTCCATGACCAAAGTAGGGCATTTTTCTTCACGAAAATGATTTGTTATAAGTATGATATGTCATTTCTTATGTACATCAAACTCAGGAAGTATACCTTTGCCAATTATTTTCAAATCAATCATAATCAAGTTAAAATGAAATTTTGATTGTGAACATTCAAGGCCATGGGACATGGTGTTGTTTTGTTCAGATATTGGGAAGATAGCTATACAATTTTTCCCATATGTCAGTGAAATAAAGAAATTAGTGTCAAATGTTCAATGGAATGAGTGGAAGTGACACCTTGGGCTGTGGTTGATGAAGAGGCTATTGGAGGGGATGTCTGTCTGGCTTGCTAGCTGGCTTGGTGTGAGTTAACACCCAAAGCATGATTCATTCAACAGCCATACAGCCATGGCTGCAAGGAGTCACTGTGGTAATAGTCCAGGCATCCCAGCATTTCTATGATTCCTATGACTTCCTATATTTTTAAATTTCCTTTATATTTCCAAATAATTTACACTCTATCCCTATAATTCCTATATTTTTATGCCACTACTGACTTCTGAGAAATCAGTGCTTTAGATTTTATTTTGTACGCTCAAAGAGAAAAGCTAGTGATGCATTCCTGTCATAAGTCTGCACTGAAGTTTGGTATCCAGCCATATCACCCACATCAAGTCCACCACCCAGTCTGACATTCATTTAGAAGCAAGATTTGAACTGCTAAGTACTTGAACGGACTGATATTGCTCATATCGCTGCTTCCAGTGCAGAGAATGTCAGGAAAGATAGAGTATGTACTTTGGCAATTAACAAACCCGATATCTCAGTCTGCACAACTTTTCATCATACAGCTCGAATTTTAGTTGTAAGTCAAGGTTAAATTCTACCAACCAACCCCCAAACCACCCCACCCCACCCCCCTATTTTTTTGGCAAAGGTGTCTGGGATGCCTGATAGTCACATTTGAGAGGGCTAGGTGACATTTAAGACGTGTTCACCACCTACAGTTGGAATAGTGTCTTTGTGTGTTTGCCAGGCTGGGTTGTGGTTGTAAAACTTTAAACGAAAAATACTTTTAAGCGGTTAATAACTTTTGGTTAACAATTTTTTATCCTCCTGGGCAATTGAAGCATTCCTCCTAACAAAACATTAACTATGTAAATCAGATGAAATCATGTTTATTTAAACCAACCCAATTCCTCAAAAGTCTAAATCAAAAGATTATGAGGTGTCTCAACCATCATTGTATAGCTGAAAAACTGCTGATGCCCGTGAAAAACCTTAATCCCTCAGATGTTGTTGTATAATGTTTATTATGTTTGATGACTGCTGTTGATTATTATAAAACCCGGTAGATTGAAAATTCGTGATACAGTTTTGAATCAGTCATAATAAATTGAACCTAATTAATGTTAGTCTTTTGAGAAAATTCAATGAGAATAATCAAACCATTTTTTTTTAATAGTTATTAAATAGAAATAAATTCCATTTTCAAATTTCAGATATTCCTCCTAATTCAAGTTCGAATATCAAAGTTTCGGACAATACTTTGGCAGTAAAATATTAGTTTCATGATTCTGGCTTTGTAAACATTACTGAACTAGGCAATTTGAATCCGGTGCTTTCACAGCTTGAATGAAAGACACAATATTGGAAATGTGGAAGTTATCTTGAAATACCATATTTCACAACTTTGTATTCAAAATATTTTAGCTTCATTATTTCAGACTCTAATAATTGATTATAAATTGTAAACATTTCCAATATTGTGCCCTGGGAAATTAAATTTGTATAGATTTTGAGAATGTATATGTATATTCTTATGTAGCAATACAATTAATACCTGTGACATTGATTTGATTTAAAGATGACTATTGAATGATTCATGATGTATTTAATATTTTTAGAGTTCACACATATTTACTAGTTTCCTGTTATTGTTTTATAGAAATATTTCATCATTATATTTGCTTATGATGCAACAGTGCATATTTTATGTCATTACCAACTTATTAGATTGCAAATTGCAAAGTACTATTAATGCAATTTTGCTAGTTTGACTATTTGCAAGATTTCATGTCCGATTTCTTTTTTTTATTTGTATATTTCTCAGCATGTTCATGAAAATGGGTCCTAATGGCCATTTGCTGGAGTATTGTACTAGTCACAAAAAACTACCTCAGTTATGATTGGACTATGCAAATATTGAACAGCTTCTCTACAATTCTTTATGTGGAAAGGTTTTCTCATACAGTCATTGTAGGTACTGGTGGTCAAGCATTACCTAGTTTTGACAAGATTATTTTAAACCATTCTGAATGTTATGAAATGTGTTGCGACTAAAGGACAACTCAACTACTACCATATACTGTACAGAAGAACACAGATGAGCCAGTGCTGTACAGTTTCATGTGCAGAGTTGTGTCCCTTAGTTGTGCCAGGATCTGTTAATTGTTGGTTCAATTTCCAGATTCGTCCTGATTATGATTTCTTGATTTTATCAGTATCATACCCCTTGCTGTTGGTGTCACCGAAGTTGTAAATGTCTAGGATATAGATATGTAGATGTCTAGGATGTAGAGAAGGGTACATTAATTAAACACACAGTTCAAAACCTAAAACTGACTGACCACCAGTGCCAGATGCCAACCAGATAATTCAGTCTTTGATAATGTGGAATTCAATGCTTTCATCAGAAACCTTAAAATGGATCAAGTTGCCAATATCAACGAACCTTGTTATCTCTGGGTGGAAGGGAACGGTGATAAACTTGGTCATTTACTGGGCATCATGACATAGGTGACGAGGCCAAACATCAGATTTGTTTTAATGAGAACATTAATAGCCAGTTAATAAGTGTGAGAAGCATGATTGAAAATCAGTAGTATATCTATGTGTAACCAAATTTCTGATTGCCCCCAAACCAAGATGGCTTCAACATTTTATATATCAATTGTGAATCATTGTTATGGACTCCTAGGATTGAGATAGTAGCAGTACTAAAAATATTTTTTGACAAAATGAACTGAAATAGACAATACTTTTCTGTTGTTGTTTGACCTTGCCATTGCATCATGGGATAATAGCATGATGTCACAGAACACCCACATCATTTAAAGGGGCACTGATCTAACGCAATTCCCCGGACTGGTTGTTGCCTTTGTTATTGTTTTTTCCCCCGTGAGTACCCGGATGAAACGCAACGCAACTGAGCGTGACCAGAGACTGGGCTACCGTCTGCAAGGACAGTTAAATAAACTTGGAGGCAATATTTGTTTTACGCATTTTTGCATAAACACTGATTGGTTAACTGTGATCTATAAAGATTTTGACAAAGGGCGCATGTTAATTAATTTCTTCAGCCTAAACAAACAGACAAAAAGAACGGCGGAGCTCATCGGATGTCGTCATTTGGAAATACCCCAGATGGTTATAGTTTGATACTAAAACAAGTATCCATGCAGTGAAAGCATTTTCGGATTTCGGATTGCGTCGATAATACCATTACTACTCCCTTGTTGTCATCCACGTTTTCTCGTATAACCCTACACTTGTGTATTTGTCGTCATTCACTTGATGCTCAGTTAATGAATTTATTACAGGTACAATTAGTGGTAGCACCACTTAGATTACCTGACAAAGGTTCCCATTTGGCATTTATTGTGTCTGGGGTAATTATTCAATCTAAATCCAGGTTTGAAGTGAGGTGAAATGTGTGTTATGTAATATGCACGTGGCAGCCCAGCAAGAGATGAATGATCAGTTGATTTACTTTTTTTTGTAAATCAACGGATCGTTCCTAGTCATCAAAGGATTAACAGAAAATACGTTGATTGATTAATCACTGTTATCTTGCACAGTGGATATGTCAAAAGTGAGTGTTTACATGTCTAGGTTTACTAAAACAAAGGGAATACACTCATATCATGGCGTGAAGTGCCGATGTAAAAACAACATACTTTGTTCAAAGGGTTAACTGATAATACGTTGATTGATTGATCATTGTTATCTATCACTCAATGGATTTTTTAGGAACCGTGGACGTTATGAAAATAGTTGTCACGTGGGCTTTCTCAGCCGACCCTTGAGACTTGACACCTATGTGAAACACCTGAAACAATCCAAGTGATCAGTTGAGAAACGAACACGGGTTATAATATCCCGAAACGATATATACCTTTTAAAATATTTGATTGTTACAGAGACACGTGACATCGAATAAGTTTCTTTGTACAGCTGCAGACGAGTTGGATATTGTTCCTTTGTGTGGATATTCACGGATACATTCCTCGAACAAGGAAGTTGCCTAAAATTTATACACATAAATTTGGTAGGTTGTAATTATGGTATTTGCATTTTGTTTTCCTTCATTTGAACCGATAATTCGTTCTTGTTTCTCTACGTCTTGGTTGGGAAATTCTTCAATGCGCGATAGACGTTGTTTCACAGGTCTTTTCCTTTGTAAGCGTGTATATATTACCGTCAATTTTTAAAATGTGATTCTCTCAGGCAATTTATAAAATGTGTAAATATTTTAGTCATTTTGACTAAAAAATCTGTCCAGATTGATTAAGAATATCAAAAGGGCTTACAAACATCACAACAGATTATGTAGGATTAGAAGCCAAACAACATAGAAATATACTTTTCAACGTAACATTTACAGTCTCTTGGTGATGACATTAAACATCAAAATGTTTGGAATTCGTTATCATGATAATAGAAATCGAAATGTTTTTCAGTCAATTTGTAAAATAACTGAATATTTAGACGTTTAATAAATATGTTACACATTTTGACAGAAAATAATATACACCCTATAAAAAAAGCGATGCTCAGGTGAAATATTTACTTTGTGTTGCAAGTCAAAATAGTATAAACGAAAATCGAAAATCGCAAAATTACCAAGCAAGTGACTTATCAAAACTTCGTCACCATTACCGATGCTACCCACAAAGATACCTACATTTCCTTATTATTTCGAAAACTGTATTTCATTTTGTTGATCAATGTGACCATACGCCCTTAATTATTACTACCGGTATCCATAAAAAGTGACTAATGCGCTTACGAATGGCGCAGCAGAGGTCGCGAACTAGTCTAGATTTCTGCTATACATCCGGGTACTCACTGGGAAAAAACAATAACAAAGGCAACAACCAGTCCCGGGGAATTGCGTTAGATCAGTGCCCCTTTAAGTCTTTGATAGGCATATAGAAGTTGGAAGAGTATGAATATATGACACTTTTTATGGAAAGCAAAAACATGCCCCACATCATTAGCTTGCTTATATTCTATCCATATTGATGTTTCAATTGAGATATTTTCATGAGTAGCACAAATATGTATGAAAATATATAAATATGTTGGCCTGATTAACAAAAATTCTATATGTTATTAACTTCAGTCCTCATACAAATGCTGGAAAATGAGTGAAACTTTTCATCACATTCCCCCAACCTGACATCTTGAGGTAACAAGGTTCAACTGTATATGGAAGACTTCATTTTAGATAAGCTGTTGCTTGTTGCGATGTACATACAGAAATAATTGCTAATAATGACATATATTTTACACATATTTTAACCCAGGTGTGTCCATTGACTGTCACATCTTTAATTAATGAAGAACATAATTACTTGTCTTCATTCAACAAAATAAGTGTGTCCAAAAAGTGAGGCTTATTTAATGACTTGATGTCATGATATATGTATATGTATATGTATCTTTTAGTTTTCAGAGTGCATGTGTGATGTGTGAGCAAATACCAGATCTACCTCAGAAGTTCTTGACATGCAGTTCATTGTTTCATTTTTGTCATAATCTCAAATTCATGAACATATATAATGCAATATTGATAAATCTAGGATTGGGGTTCAATGTAGAGCATTCAGAAGAGCATTCATTCTTTAAATTGTACATTATTTGAATCAAATCTCCATCAAACATGGCATGTGCCGTTCATTATGCATCTACTCATTGTGTAATACATTTTAGCCAAATATCCTATAACCATATGCATCAGGGAACTCGATTCTATTAAACCTATAGATATTGTAAAGGTTATTTTAAAATTGAAAGAACCGAGTTTCTTTATTTTGGAATAAGTAACATGCCATAAATTGTGCATGCATGAATATGACCATGCTCCTGTACTGATCTCCAACCTTATTTAAATCAGATCTTTTACTCTAATGCGATATTTCCCTGCATGATGATCTGACAAATCATCCAGGTGCCTCAGGTGTCAGGTGAATTTTCAAATCAGCATTAAGGCTTCTAAATTTGTTGTATCACGAAAATGAACTTATATGGGCAGTTCCAAATGGAAATAAGTTAGGCTGTGCTATCATATACTCCCTGTCATTTCTGACATATATGTAAAGGAATGTTTGTTCTTTAGGTTTACTCTTGTTTGGATTGAAATTTGTAATCGAGTTGCTAACAAAATGAAGCCAAATCATTTTAGAAAGCTGACATCTGATTGCCTGAAGAACACATGCGAACTTCATTTAGATTAGGAGGCCTAAGTTTGCCTGGTATTCCCCTGACACAACAGAGGGGTATCTTATCAGGGTAAAAGAAATTATTTTAATGAGATTGTACTGATCTCTGAGTGTATTCGCATCTGCTGTTCCTTTCAGAGGGATATTGTGAAAATATGGTATATGATAGTGTATTCTATGTCCTCTTCTTATTCTAAAATGAATATATAGTTTCACTTTTCTCTCACATCATCCAGATGTTCTACTTTTCCTCCCCTTGGTGTTAATTATTATTCTTTTTAATGGAAGTTATATTTAACATTTAAGCAAAATCATCAGGTAATTTGACAAAAAAAATCAATGTTTAATAGTAAATATAAAAATGACTCAAATTCCATTTATGAGGTTTATTCATCACCTTCCTTCTATAAGTTGTATCAGATAAGGTGACTGAAATTGGGCAATTGCGTTAGAAATGTTCAAATTCAATGGCATTTTAAATGGTCTCACTAGATCACTTGAATATGGCATTTTCTTGAAACCGTTCCAGTTTTGAGACACTTTATCAATGGGGATTATTTTTCTTTGTTCTTTACAAACAAGAAAAACATCTCTGATATGTGATATTTGTTTACAACACACAAATAATGGTACTAATAAGGACATTTCCCAATTCTTCCGTGTCAGTTGTTAATCATATGTTTGCATTTTTTTTGTAATATGATTTGACACTTTGACATTAAAGCACATTTATAAATAATAAGCAAATACTAAGTTCGTAATTGTAAGGATCAAGCATTAAGTCAGCATTTATGTTCAACATAAATTCAATAAAGTAAACATTTCACACTCTTCACATTTTCAGATAATTTGCATTTCACTATATTTGGTAATACATTTCATTGCAATTTATGGTGTTCATAGCAAAACCTGTGTTGTTTACTACTTCATTTGTACATATGTCATAGTTGTGTTTGTGTTATGTAGTTTTATTCACATTCTGTTTGCCTTTCAATACCAAATATAATGGTCATGGACAGTGACACCATATATCTATCTAAGATATCACCAGATCCACAAATGCTCTTACATGACCGTGAGATAGCATACAGGCTCATTCTGATCAACGCATGGGAATAGGATGGCTCAGTCATTAAAGGCGGTGCAGAGTTGTGTTCCTGGGGCATGCGAGAAACAGAGTTTGAATCCCAGATTCACCCTTATTATGTTTGCAGGTCAGCACCATACCTGTATTGGGTGAGTTTAACCAAATTGGTAAAGGTCTAATACCTGCCTTCACATCAAGCTGTCCTGTGATGTGGTCGAATATGGTCAGATAACGGTCAAACAAAAAACCTAACTCATTCTCTCACACCAGTGATTGCTTTTTGATTTTGGGGGAAATTGTCACACATATAACATAACATCTACCAAGTATTAAATGACATTTCATTCAATTTGTAAGAATAATTTAATGAAATGATATTTTGCAATGTTTGTTACATGAACCATGCCAAATGAAGAAGTTCATTCTGAACACCTGGTATTTACCTGGCATTGTTAGATGTACTATCAAACATACATATTCATGCATCATTTGCATATCTAATGTGGATTTGTTAAACT